TTTGAGACAGGGTCTCCCTGTAGCCCCAGCTGTCCTGGAACTCACTATGTAGACCAGGCTGGCCTTGAACTCACAGAGATCTGCCTGCCTCTGCCTCCTGAGTGCTGGGATTAAAGGCATGTGCCACCACGCCCAGCTTTTTTCCTTTTTAGGTGCTAAGGACTAAACCTAGAGCCTGACACACATTAAGCATATACTGTCTATCACTGAGTTGCTCCCCCAGCTTCCTTGTTCTTCAAATGGAGGAGCAGAATTCTAGCCACCCCAGATCCTTACAGGGAGGGTCAGGACTTATTATAATGCTTTTGGATTCCCATACTTCAATACCTTGCCTGCACACTCATTTCTGACACCCCTGTCCATCCCAATGACACCCCCAGAACCCAGCCTGATACTGAACACACAGATAATGGTAGGACAGCCCAGCCTCAGACACACATGGATATATATAAAACCAAGGCAGAGATTCAGGGCAGCTAGTTCCTGGAGGAAGAATCTGTGACAAATCACAAGCATGATCGCAGCAGAACGCTGTTCTTCCAGCCTGGTCCCCGAGGCAAGCAGGGAGTCTTACCAGACTTGAGTGGAAAGAGGACATACTTGATGAAGGACAGAACCCCGTTGTTCTCCACATTGCCTGGCTCACAGAAGGCCTTCTTTAGCTTTTTCTTCACGTCCTCTTTCTGATCAAGGAGGTCGATTTTGGACTCCTGAGAAGTTGTGAAGGAAGAGACCTCTTGTAGTTGAAAAGGAAAACATGCTCAACTAATTTCAACTAATATGTGCATACATAATTTTTAAAGTTTGTTTTAATGAAGGCAATCTACCAATTTTTTCCTTCATGGGTTATGCCCTTTTTTGGTTTTCTTTTGAGACAGAGTCTCTTGTACTCCAGGCTGGCTTTGAGCTTGCTATGTATCTAAAGATGACCTTGAACTGCTGATTTTTCTGCCTTTACTTCCCCAGTGCTGGGATTATGTCTTGGAAACTTATCTCCAAAGTCCTGTTAGTGGTATTAGAGGTGGGACATTTGGAAGGTGACTGAATCCTCATGAATAGATTAAATCATTCATGGATTATCAGATCAATAAGTTATTAAAAGAGTAGCTTTGTCATAAAAGGGAATTCCCTCTGGCACACTTGTTCTGCCTTACCACATGATTGCTTGCACACACTTAGGACTCTGTATAAAGTCTGCACCAGGAAAAGGTTCTGACTAAATGAGGCTCCTTGACCATAGACTTCCAAGCTTCCAGTGGAAGAAATTGTTTTCTAAATAAATTAACCAGTCTCAAGTATCCTGTTATAGCAAACAGAAAGTGGACCAAAATACCAGGGTATTATATATTATCTAGCCATTTCTCTTCTTATTAAAGTTTTATTTTTATTACATTCTATCTATCTATCTATCTATCATCTATGATCTATCTATCTATCTA